TTCAGTGGCATGCCAGAGAGAAGGAACATGACCCTGTAGCCTAGGGAATGAGTGTGGGTACCTGAGATTTACTTATGTTTCAAGGAAAGACCTGAGAGGTAAAATTAGCTTTGTCCCTACCTTTCCTGTTGAGCACATACAACTATACAGAGATTGGGTACCCCTTCAGGAAGAATGAGACATCATTTTGATTTCTCTCAGACAGAGGAAAGATAACACTTGAATCCCCCATTTTTTAAGGAAACAGAGGAGCACTGTGGATACTGATCAGAGACAGAGGCTACTTTGCAGAGATCCTGACCTGGCATACCAGGTAGGCAACTTGCTCAGCTTGCTAAGACCTTTGCTGGATCTGCTCTGAACTCTTCTCCCAAAATGGCCTGGGCTTGGAAGAAATTATATGGAAGGGGATTTAACTGGTAACATGTGAGCGTCCCATTTGGTCCAGGCCCCACTGTGCCCTGGTTATTCCTCACGTGCCATGTTGCTAAGTGACACTTTGCAATGTGCATCCTGCAGCCTTCCCTCCCCGGTTAGGTACAACTCCAATGCGCTCGCCCCTTTGTCTTCAAAATGTAGCGTTATGGATTGCAGCCTTGTAGATGCCAGGCACAAGGAGATGAGCCTGTTCTGGGAAAAAGGTCCAGCAGATCTGCAGAAAGTGTAACTGGATACCACACAGCTGACATGAACTGGTGTGGAAGTGCTGTCAGCTCATCGAGTCAGAAACCTGTTTCAGGCCATGCCATCTGCACACTTCACTGCCTGCTTCCAGCCCGTGCCTGCTGCTGCTCGGCACTGGAGACAGGACTGCTGCTCCTGAAACCCTCTGAGCTGTTTCTTTCATGTGGCAATGACTACATGCACGGTCCTGTGGCGTGGGCTGGAGCAGGCTGGGGCTAAACGAGGTGATGTCAAGATGGGGTGAGCTTTCCAGTCAGATGCAGTACACATTGCTCAAGAGATGAAGAGGCTCATGGTATCTGCCCTGTTTATTTCCTGGGCCATTCATTAATTCATTTGTACTAGTTTTCTGTGAAATATCCCTGCATCTTTAAGAGTCTCTTTGGCTTGTGAGGCACAGAAAAGACAAAATGAGGTCCTATAAGAAAAGAGAGCTGACTGTAACACATACATTTCTTCCTTCACCCAAGACTGATCAAGGATTTCCTCATGTGAATCCCATGAATATCTGCAAAGTAAGTTAAAGGAAGGGCTGTTTTCCAGACTACTCCTCTTGGAACAGAAAAGCAAGCGGTCTGGCATTATTTAGAGTAAACACTAATGTTTCCCTGGGGTTAGATGCCCTTCAGGTAGGAGTCACAATTTTGAATTTAGGCTTCTTAAAATGCCTTTATGTTGTTTCAGGGGCCTAAATCCCATCTGACTCTATTGGGATATGTAGAGGACCCTCCTGAGATGAACTTCAAGACACAGAGATAGTGAATTCTCACCAGACTTTATAATATCACAAGAATGAAACACCTCCTCACCCAATGAAATTGTTTCCGGTGATCCTCTTATGGTGTTCTGGGACCATCATTTCTGGCTAGCTCCAACACATATGTTATGTCCCCTAGAGAACTGATATGAGCTGGGACAGCTCTGATGGCAGGTGCAATAGGATAGCTTTAAACGTGTCAGCAAAGTATGTTCAGAAGTGTGAACTTTCTTCACCAACAAAGTAAATCAGTCAGGATAAGGAATCCTGTTATAATTAATTCATTAGTACATTAATGGGAAGAACTAGAAAATGTCTAGCTACTTATCCTAGAAGATAGGCTGAAGGCAACACTAAATTTACAGTTAAGGACAAAATATATCTAAGAGAACATGAACAGGAAGACCAATCTGTCTCACATTTGCAGAAAAACGTAGCTCTGTTGCTGTCCCTCTGCTCTCAGGTAATCCTCAAAAGAGGAATTCTTAAGAGGAAGCTGCTGTTATTTGTGTTTGGCTACGGTGTTGCCTTACCACAGTTTTGCATGGAGAAGACTGGAAATGCATCACACATTTGCAATGGTTCTAACGAGCAGTTTTGACGTATTAGCCAAGGCAAAATGCAGGCATTGAACAAGCTGTGTTTGTGTCAGGGATAGTTTTGATTTAGAAATTCAGTTTTAAAAAACCCAGAGAAATCTTTCTGCATCGTTGGCCACATTTCACTTTTTTTTTTTTTATCATGGAGAGTAACATCTCAAACCCCACAGCCAAACTCCTAGAAAAGTCACCCACCACTCAATCTTAAAAACTTCGCTTGCCTTAGGTCCACAGCATCTGAAAAGGTTGTCCTGGGAAAGATGTCTCCCTCCCCTCCTCCTCCTCCTCCTCCACCCTGCAGCAGGACCCATTGTCCCTTGGCGGCAAGGCATAAAGGAGTTAACGAAGGAGCCGGCAAGGAGGTATGACGGGGTGATGTCAGAATATTTCCAGGGAAAGAATGTGTTGGGGGGCGCTGGCCGGGCGCAGGGGCTGGGGCTGGCGGCCCCCGGCCCCACCCCGACATTCTTCTTGTCCGGTTCCCACAGGCGGAGAGTGGCACGGGGGGTCAGAGTGGACGAGCACAAAGGGAGACCCCCTGCTGCCGGGGCCATCGTGCTGGGCTGTCACTGCTACTAATTCATGACTTCACCTTTAATCTCACTGATCCATTATAGGTTAAAAAGAGACCCATTTTACAGCTGACAAGATTGAAGGGAGCGCAACCCAGGAACTCAGGAGAGTGGGGGGTGGGTATGGGGGAGAAAAAGAAAATAAGGGAGGGGGAGAGAGAAATAACCCCTACTAAAGTTTGTATAATTGGGATCCATCTGCTAAAAATAGATTTTGTAGTTTTTGTTTGTCCTGCCCCTTCACTATGACAATATCTATTTTAAGAGGTAAGCTGATAACTGCAGCTAATTCAAAATTTTAGCACACAGGGTCAGTGCAAAAAGGAATGGGAAGGAGAGGGGGGACTGGGAAAAGAAAAAGAGTAGGATTTTAGGAGCAGGGCTGCACAGCGGAAAGGATGGGAAGCATTCAAATGGTTTAGTGCTGCTTTAGAGCATGTTTGGTGAGGTCATCATGGGGAAATGACTATGAAATTTATGAAATGCTGATGTCAAGAGTAAGCTGATCAAATCCACATTGATTTGGCAGAGTAATAAATATTGGTGTGTGGCACTTACAACATGTTTATAAGGACACAAATACTTCATGAATACTCAGAAATTGTTAGACCTACCGTGCTGTGAGCTGTAGATGAAGTCTCCAGAAGTAATCCACTATCTGTTTTCATTAGTAGGGTAATCACTTTCAATGTGTTCTTTAACAAAAATTTTTATATTGTTAGTTTGAGGCAACTAAAGTGCATATTCTCGGTGAAGTTCAGAAAATAAGCAAATAGGAAAGAAAAAAGTGAGTCTCTGAAGAAGAAAAAAACATCAGAGGAGTGATAATTTGCCATAGACCTGTGAAAATAATTATTTTTTTAGTATATAGCAAAGGATTCAACATTCTTGCATTTCCTGGTTTTGTCCTACATCAGTGAGAACACTGTAGATACCTGCATGCAATGCTAATTCAGGGAGCTGCGGTATCAACCTTTAAGGTTTTTGCTTTCTCTATCTACTCTTTGACAAAAACTTGTAATTCCAGAAGCAGTTTTAGGAAGTCCATCAAACTAGTCCTATCCCTCCTACTGCCCTGATTGTATCTGAAAGCATTGAAGCTAAGAAGGAGATTGCAGGATTCTCCTTATTTTTTTTACTTGAACGACTGGAACTTCATCTCATAAGATTTTGCAGTGTAAGTATGTAAATTTATACTGCCAGAAGCGCAGAGCTTTTGCATTTGTTACAACACCCTGTTTCTTCCTTTCTTCCTTCTAGGAATTCTAGGAGTTGTTGGCATCATGGTTTCATGGATTTCCCACTGCTAAAAGGTGACAGCAGAGAGTGGGGAGGTTTATGAGGTTGCAAAGAAATTTGCAACGATTTTTGGGTTTCTGGGATTCATAAACAAAGTCTGTGAAGGAGATCAGTTGCCAGTGTCTTTTGTAGAAAGCTATAAGAGACAATAGGAACCTTTCGTGTGAGGGACTCTGTCAGTTAAAGTCAGTGATGGAAGTGCTGTTGAAAAGAGCCTCCGATCAAATCAAAACCTGTTTTCCTAAGAGTGACACTGCCTGCAAATGGGGGCAGATTGAAGTCCGTAACTGGACAGCGCTTTGGACACATTCTGCTTACTTTAGTCACACAAAATGACGTATTGATGAAAGTTTCCAGGATCCAAACAGGCAGCTCTTTCATAGGCAAAAGCCCTAATGAAGTCACTGGCATGCAGCCTTGCTGGACTAAGGCCTGCAGGCTATTTCCCTAGTCAATACACTGGACCTAATCTTATACCCCTTGAGCATCAAACTCCATGTGTATTTTTTGCAAGTATTTGTTCTCTTTCTGCAAAAGTGCAAGATTTGTGTGCCGTGGAGTGCAATGTCAGTGAGCAGCTGCTTCTCCTTCAGCATGAGTTGTTCAGTATACAGCCCTCATTCGCTACCGGTTGGACAAAACCACACTGCAAAGCTGAGGCACGGAACAGCGAGGATCTGCCAAATACAAATCTACTGTTTTAATTCTGTAAGCCTCCGAAAACAAACAAAAAAAAATTCATTAAAGAAAAAAATTTTAAAAGCTTCAGCAAATATTACAAAAAAAAAAAAGTATTTTTCCTGGTAATCTTCAGACTACTCATTTAGTGGAGCATGTTAACTCCTCTGGTTAAGTCAAATGCAATCAATGGAGCTGTCTTAACAATGAGTTAGAGCTACCTTGCAGAATGGATTTCATTAGTTCTTTGCAAGCTTAGTTCTTCTGGTTTCTGATCAGCCAGCTGAATTTATTTTTTCCATTTCTGAGAGTGTAGGAAATATAGACTGGAATGGCAGGTTCGTACATTTCCTTGGTTCCAAAGTGTCATCAAACAGTAAGTTAAAATGATAAAAATCATACGGATGTTTCCAGGGGATGATTGTTTTAGGCAAGGAACTTGTGTTTGTTCTTTCTTTCTGGAATTTTTGATTACTGTTTCCCTCAAGAAAATGTTATAATGCAATGCCCATGTAATAAGGTAAAAAGCATCTTTTAGAGCTGAAAAATTACCATGTCCTCCTCCACACTTCTCAGAAAAGGATAGAATGAATAAAATCCTTCTCAGATCATTTTTTTTCTATAGGTTTTGTACATCTTCTGCAATGCATCTGTAGGCAGGTGTTCAGAAGGAGTCAAGAACGCAGCTTCTGTGTGTATTTGCTGGATTCAGGATGAACTGCTGAACTGGATGGCAATAACTCGGCCTGGAGGTAAAAGAAGAGGGAATGGAGGAGATCCAGATTATCGATCCTGTTAACACATCCCTTTCACTCAGCAGGGTGAGTGCTTGCAGTTCATGCGAAAAAACCCCAGAAGGCTCTGCCTCTGTCTGCTCTCACCTCTGCTCTAGATCTGATCTAAGCTCCCAGGCAGGATCACAGCTCAAACATATCTGAAACTGTGGGCCTTAAATATTCAGTTTTCTCTGTGAACTGACTTCTTTTGACAGCCTGCATCCATGTTGCTATCATGCTTCTTGTGCTATAAATAAATCCATGATCGTTGATGCCAATCAACTAATACCAGGTCCTTATCACAACAAGCTCACAGTACCTCATTCAGTGTGCTCAAGGAGTTATCTTTCCATCTCCTTTTTTAAGATGAAACTAATCCATTGTAAGCCCCATAACAAGAAGCCACTCACAGGGTGAAAGTATAAGTGCAGTTTTTAAATGGTATTGTATATGTCTCATGACTCTTGCCATTAAAGACACAGGTATGAAAAGATGCTCCCTGTTTTTATACAGCGCTGCTGTGGAGACAAGGTAGGAGGTTGGATTTTCCTTGTGCTTGCTTGTTCATGGTTTAATTAAAATGTATTATTATCCTAAGGCTTTTTCTTTTTTAAAGTAAAGTCAAGTACCCTACTGAAGACAAGGGACATTCATACACCCAAATCTGTGTTAGAGTCCTACTGGCAGTAAGATCTTTTGCACAAATATCTGATTGCAGAGTTAGAATTCAACAAAGCAAGAAGAAATAGGCTGAAGAGTAACCACCTAAAAAAAGATGCAGTAGCACAGAGAGTGGGAAGCAGAACTGAGAGAACAATAAATGAAGAAACAATGAAAAGGTCAAGAATTTATTTGGGATTCATAAGTACAAATGTTGTAGTTCAAGCAGTGCATGCATGAGATGAAAAATTAAATTCCTTCTCTTCACATATTTTTATTTTTCTCTCCTTATTTTTTTTTTCAGCTCATGAATACCAGTGAAAGAAATCTTACTTGCAGTAGAAAAAAAAAAAAACAAATATGAGATGCAAATAGTGAAGGTACATGGGGCCATAAAGACAAGAAGAAGCACCGTTTTCTTCAGTGGCTTCAGGAGAATGCACTGCACTCAAAGAGAGATATGTTTTGTGCAAATGTTGTTGGGAATATTTGATGGAGAAACATGATCTTCTTCCATCCTTCCTTTCACATAGTGCTGGATGAGTCAGAAACAGGTGGATTGGGGGAATCTCTACTTGCTGTGCAGTGAATCTGGGGCGATACACACATGATAATCATGATTCTCCAAGCTCCAGAGTTTGCAGAGCATCTGAAGCAGTGTTTTCTGCTTGATGGGTGGCTCACAGATGGTTTGTGTGTCAACCCGTGTACTGAGGCTGTGTGGGTGCAGAAGGTAGATGTGTCCAGGTGTGAGTGAAGTGTTGTTGAGGAGATGGAAGAAGAAAGTTGTTATACCGGGAATTGTTTAGTCTAGTACTGCTTAAACAACTTTTAACAACCATCAGACCAAACTCTCTTGAAAAAGATAAAAGAGAGCCAACACAGCACATCAAAACTTCCATATGTGGTATCTTCAGGGATTCCCTTCAGCGGTGCTATGCCCCATCACTGCTCCTAACTAAGGAAAATTTATATCCTTTTCCCAAACATTCTGCAGTTATGTTTACATTCCTGATCTTCTCCATCCCCTTTCTTCAGTGCGTATGTTCCTCTGCTGTCTGGTGTTTTTCTCTTGATACATGCTTCCCTTTGGCATGTGGTCCTCTCCTCCTGTGGACCTCCTGTCTCATCTCCCTCCAATCTCCCACTGGAAATTCCAGCCCCCACTGGTTTGTGTATAGTCCTTGTGTAGTGCTTTCTTCATGATCTGGACAAAGCAATGCAGAGGTGCAATGTCAGACAACCCTCAGTGAAGAAGGGAGGGATGGATCTGACAGCTCCATGAACTTGTAAAGTTCATGAACATGAAAGTGTAAGTCACTCACTCTTGGAATCATCTCAGCTTTTGCTGGGACTGGTTGAAGTAGGTGACAGAGCTGTAGAGACTAGTTTACTCAAATTTGACCAGACAGCAAATGGGTTACTACAGCTTTGAGAAACAAGTGTGATTACACAGTGGCCTAATTTCTATTTAAATATAATTCAGAATTGCTCCTGCATTTCTCTGACAACATGCAGGGGTAAAAAATTATTCTAATTTGTTTTTTTAATAAAAACAAAATACAAGCAGTCCAATTGATAAATTAATCCCCATACTAACTGCAATACAACTCATACAGTTACACCAGGTTTCCTTTGGGTCAATATTTTCCTTTGCCATAAGGCCAAAGAAGCATTTAAGCATCACCTGATAACCAAACAGCGAATACAAGCACCAGGCTGACATTATCCATTTCCCACCCTCTCCAGATTGTTTCTGTCTGTCTCATGCTCTTCAAATGGCAATGCAAAGCCCATATGCTGTGGTGTCAGGAAAAAATTCCCAACACAGCATCTGGCTGTGTGGCAGGTCCTGAGGCAGTTGGTGTGTCAGCTTTGGAGCTGCCTCTGCTTTTGTCATGTACCGGGGGTTGGTGATGGGACTTCCTTGTCAACCCCACAAACCACTTTGGATTCCAAGGAATCACTAGGTTTATGTCTTTCAACAAGCTCCTGCTTAAATCTCTCATGAGATCTCTATACAGGCCTCCTTTATGGTAAAATAATGAGAATTTCTTAATGCCCAAGTGCGTGTGTTCAGCAGAAATATGTGGGTTTAGTTTAAAGTGGACCACAACCTGGTACGTACAGGTGACTGTGTACTAGGATTTCTTTATCAGAAAACTCCTGAATGCTCTTTGAAAAGGTCTTTTTTTTTTTTTTTTTTTCCTCCTTTGCTCACAAGTGTAGAAGCCACTTCTTGATGAATAAGATCCATAATGCTGGGAGATATTTGAGATCAAGCATATGGTCCATTGAATATGCATGTAAGTGGGGCGGGAGGGGATGGGTGTGCAGCGCTGGGGAAAGTTAAGCAGTGTGGAGTTCAAACGCAGCCTTTCTGCCCATTTTGGGAAATATCACTTTCTGTTTCCTTTGATACACAAGTTACTAGATAGCAATTTACAACCAAAAGCATAGCTGGCGGATTTAAGCACTTAAAGATCTAGTCGTGACTTGTGTTAGAATAATACCATTTCACTTGTGGTTTCCTGCAAAATGCTTATTTTTACAACCAAAACATAAGACAATAAAAGCTCAAGTTATTCAAAAGTACATAAGGGTAAGAAACTTCTTTAACTGACAAATGACCAATTCTTTTCTAGGAAAGAGGTTTAAATGACTCTTCTTCACATTTAAATGGAAAGAGTGCTTGGAGAATACATATTCTAGTAAGTTTTCCTTATCAGTGGAGAGAGAGAAAAGGAGACAGGACTGAATAGGAGCGATTGGGCATGAAGTAGTAACTATGAGGTCCTGGAGGCAGGAGAACAAGAGAGGGAAGAAAAAAGAGCAGAGAACCCAGTAGAAAGGCAAGGGGGAGGAGGGGTGAAAGGAAGGATATGTAGGGGTTATTTAAGAGATGCCAGGGAAAACTGGGATGCTTGTGTGTTTGAGAAGAAGAGAGACAACCTTGAAATACAGAAATTGAGCCCGGAACTATGAAGATTTACCAGGAATAATCTTGGGGAAGTTGTTGCATGTCTAAGATTTGAATCGGATTTTTTCTTAGGAGGAAGGGTGTATTTTTTTGTATTGCCACAGCGTATTTTTTCCACATGAGAAAATGTAAATTAATCTTTAAATTACCAATGTGTTATGACTAATTTACTTCATGGGCCAAAACAAAGCAGCACATTGCATTTATTTCTTATGGCTACTGAAAATCCTACAGAAATGAGGAATTAGAAGTCCTTTAAAGGAACCTTCTCCCTCAAATACAGGATGTGACAGTGAAGTATGTCATCATCAATAATCCTTCAGCAGGAAATACTCACTTTCTAATCATATTAGTACGAGTGGGCATGAGGAAGAGGAAAGATGTTTCATTACAGCACGTAATAGACCTGAATAAATAGCACAAAACTGACCTCTTGCACATCTGAATGGAGTCCTGCAGGTGTACCATTTTGTGAAGGGCAGTGTGTTTGTGTGTATGCCTGTGAAAAAATGCCTGTGGTGGAGCGTGTTCTAATACAACCTCTATTTCAAAACCAACACTGATCGGAAGCAAAACTTAGAGGAAAACCTCTGGGCCCTCTTGCTGTCTGCCTGGGGTATGACTGACCCTTTGGCATTCACCCACCTCTTAAATCAGATATATACTCTAATTTTTGTCAAGTAGGCATTTTGCATAGTGTCCTTGCAAGAACAGTTCTTCCTAGTCATGGGTCCTGTGTGCATACTGAGGATGACAGCTTTAAGTCAGACCAGTCAATCTATTATGACATGTCCTGTGCAATTGTGTCCTTGGAAATGCTCATGGATGTAGGAGATACCTACGTAAAATAGGATCATTTCCTTTATGTGAGTTTACTTTTTATATTCTTCTGAGGAAAGCCATTTATCCTTTGAAATATATTTCTACAGTAACATGAACACTCTCAGATATTTTGTGAGGTAGTTAAGCTAGGTTATTTTAAAATAAGTAAACAGAGAGCAAAATGGTGAGCTCTTTTAAGGTTGTGGTGGTGGGGAACCTAGGGGCAGGGCTCTATTGTGAAAAGCCACCTTAGTGATCAGCCACTTTCCAAAACAGTGCATCAAATCCTCTAGAGACTTTTTTAAGTTAATGAACATCTCTGGGAGCCATTGTCTCATGCCTTATGTTTGAAGGTTAGTATCTCTTTACCACTTATTAGAAGAGTTTATATCAAGGGAAAAATACATACATGCTGGGTACACATTCTCAGATAACTCAAAATGAAGAAACATCTTGGATATGTTTACCTTCAAATCCACTCACTACAGTCCTGTGCCCAAGCAAATTACATCTGAGTAAAATCTAATTGTCAGAATCTGGTTATACTGAGGATGTTTTCTGAGTTCCTAATCACTGTGGATCCTATATCACAAAGAGCTGAAACGTGCTGGAGTTCAGTGTAGGCTAGCCTACAAGCAATTGCTAAATAAGTCTAGGAGTGCACGCAAATGCTTAGATCAAAAAGGTGTTCAAGTGCTGTGCTGAGTCATGGCCTCATTCTGAAATCTGACTTTCTATCACTAAAGAAGATGCTGTTCATTCTCTGGTTGCTTCCAGGCTCTTTGGTCCAGGACTGAAGTGCCAGGCAGCCCCCACTGTGAGGGAGCTTATGCTGAAGAATTCAGCTCTGTACAAATACTTTTCTGAGTCATAGGAACGACAGTAGGCAAGATCACTAAACTCATGCAGAAACCAGCACTTTTTTCTTCAGAGATAGAGGAAAATGTCTACTCCACATTGACCCAGCTATGGAACATAGCATTGTGAAACTAGCAGTCTTTGCAGATAAAAAACCAGCACTTTCTGCAGAATATCTAGAGTATTATTTACCTTAATTAAACTAAAGAAGACTAATAGATGCATCTGGATAAAACCTGTCCCAGTTTCTAATGACATTCTTTGTATTTTACAAATGTGACTGATTCCTCTATGCTTGCTTTTCTCTTCACTGACCATTTTTCATTGTCGGTACTTTTACCTCTCTTTTCCCTGTTTTACAAATAGTCACTGTGAGGCTGACGCACACATTGAAACATCCTGTCTTGCTGATGTAAGTCCTTCCAGGAATGTCTGTGACTCAGGGAATTATTCAGGCCTATCCACAGACCTTGGAGATGTACTGAGGTAAGGATTGAAAAGGCAAGAGGTCTTGTGCTCTTAGGACACTTTGAGAGAAAATTAAATGTTTTACAAAGTCTAACTGAAACACATTTTTTTATTTATGTTTAAAAAAATATTATCTATACAGTGTGTGAGATGGCAAATACATATTAAAACCAGAAGAACTGCAAAGCCAATTATTAGACTAAAACTGGCTTTTGCTGGCAACACGTGACATAAATTGTGGCTTTACTTATGTTGAAAAGTGTGCCTCTGATTTTCCCTGTTTGGGTCTTTACATTCTTCCTAAAGATTTTATCAAAGCTAAGTGATTGCAGAAGTGGTACTGCTTAATACACAACATTTTCTTTTATATTTGGATATCACAGATGTACAAGGGACAAGCTTCTGCTCAGGATCAAATGGAATAATCATGTATTGGACACTGGGCAAATAAACTGGGATGGCTGGAAGCCTGCTCGCTGCTGCTGGTGGCCAGCAGCTGCTCTATGGCAATGACTGTAGCCAAAGGCAGAGGAAGACACAGGAAGGTTCAAACTGCTTCTGAATTTGTTCCTTCTCTACTTTATCCTCCCCATGCCCTCACAGCTCTCCTTGTAGCTGCCATGAAGAGAACGAGGGCTCAGAAGAGCTGATATTCCTGTCATCCAATGGCCATAACCACCAAAATTCCTTTCCTTGCTGAAACCTGCTGCCCACTTTTCTGGTGAAGCAGGACAACTTTTTTTCCTTTGTAAATAAGGTAGGAATCTTCCAGCAAAGGATAATAAAAATTTCCTATATGTACTTCCTGTGTGAACACAGGTAAAAACCAGCACAGCCTGGACTTCCTTTGTGTGAGGTAATTTATATCACTGTTTGTAGAACTGGGATCAAAATCTCTCAGCACTGGTGCTCTATTTCCACTCATTTTGTACTACGGTCTTCTTGCAAATCCCCTGCGGGAGCAGTTCAGAGGTACTTAAAGGGATGGCATTTCTGTAATTATCTAATTATTGTGCCAAGGTTCTTTCTTGTGCTTGTTAAACCTTCATTCCAATGAAAGTGTAACCCCACACTATTGAATTTGGATAAAATGTGATTGAGAATCAACATTAATTCCCCAGCAGTCTTTGGAGTAGGTACTGTTGGTTTACTTTTATCTTTTCTGGTTTGAAAACATGGAGTTCAGACTGGGTCATTCTGAATAGAGTGAAAAACTTGAAAGGTAGTGCAGTGTGCTAGTGGGGCTGTTGTTTTCCATTAGATTCTTTATATTGGCTTAAAAATTCATGGGACATCTATTTTTTGAATGAATTTTATAACAATTTGTGGTGATTACTCAATTATCTGAATTTCTGTTAGTTGCTATCACTTTTTAATTCCGAGTTTTTCAGTAAGGAATCAACAGTGAATTGGATCATATTTATATTCAACAACCTTTCAGTTACTTATCCCTTACTTACTGTTGTTTCATGTTCTTCCCTTAATTCCTTTGTGAGTTTCTTCCCCCTCTCTGAGACACAGGAGTCTAACACAGAAAAAATATTAAGGAAATATTAAACCTCTCTTCGGTTATTTCCTTCTGGTTCCTACTTTTTAATTCACTTTTCACTATCAGCCATGAATATTACACGGTCATTTGAATTTTCAGCTGCTGAATCATGATCAGTTGAAGATCCCGTAGCCCTGCACTACTGGATATAACTCAAGGGGTTATGCTGTTTTTACTGTTTGGCACATACTCAGGAATGGGAACTTAGCTTAGCAGTTGGAGCATATGGCAGGGGGAGATAGGCCAGCATCTTGGATGAAGATGCATATATTTTGTACTCTCATGGTATGATGCATTCTTGTGCTTTGCAGATGGCACCTTAGAACTGTGGCTCTGAAAACTAATTTTGCCCAGCCACGCAGGTCTGCTGACACAAGCACAGGGATCATCTGTTTCTGCACAGACACTACTGCACACTGCAGATATCCTAGGAAGGAATTTTTCTGAGAAGCACACCTGCATCTCAGTTGCTGTGGTGAGCAGAAAAAAAAAGCTCAGGAACCTATGACTAGCCTGTGTTATCTAAAGAGAACAATTCAGGCAGACACGATGGCTACCATCATGTAACACTTGGTTGCTGTTTCTCCTAAAAGTTTATTACATTATAGTTGTCAGGCCAAGATTAGCAGGAATATATTGATCTTTTATGACAGCTGGAAAGACGGGTTCATTCTAATTGACAGAGGTCTAACATTGCCTTTGATTTGTTAACAGATTCCTTGTGTTCAGACCAACCATCAGTGCACAGAGAAACTGCTTTTTTACCACATGGGGATCATAGCACTATTAGTGCCACTCTCCAAAACTGGTTAGGGCTCTGTATCTGCCTCTCTGTCCCCCACAAAACAAGCAAGCATCTTGTTACTGTGCAAGTGGACCAAGGGCTTGCTAGACAGGTTTCAGGCAAGATATTCTGTGCAGCTAACCAAACTGCAGATTAGGGCGTGAGTACTTTATGTTCTCTGGCATAATTTGCATTACTTAAAATCACTTTGGGAACATTTTTTAAATGCACTAGGCTGGAGTTCAGTTTTCCTCAGAACTGTATTGTTTCCTCTCCAAGGTCATTATTTGCTGCACTGTGTCCCTGATCTGATCAGGGAGATCATACAGGGAGATCATTTAAAAATGCATTAGGCAGATGTGTTTTTAAAGCTCATTTTCCTGCATGTGCAGTGGGTTTCACACTAGTTACTGCCAGGTCTTAGCTTGCTTCTCCTCCTCCTCCTCCCCATAAATTTCTGTGCTCTCTATAGGACAGACAGCCCTCAGTACTAGTCTGTGCTTTTTGCTAGATGTTCTCCTGAAACAGTAAATGCTTTGGCAGCAAATAAAGCCATGGGTGATAGACACAAACAGTTAAATTCTATTGGCCATCTGCAACAGGAGAGCTAAAGGAGAAAGAGAAATTGGAATTAAAACCAGATCTGTCAAGCAATGAATGGGACACTGTCTGGAGTAATGGGAAAATTACAGCCAGCTTACTGTGTACCAAGGAGCTTTATTTTATTTTTTTTTTTAATGATACCTAAGAACTATTATTTACAGGACCCCTGAGCAATTGTTTCCACATTGAGCTTAGACAAGAGAACAGTTGCTGGCACTACCAATAATATATGTCTGACTGCAACCAGCAGGCTGGAAAGCAGGGTAAGGGATGGATTCTAGAGAGGAACCTCCTCCCAGCCACAGAACTTCTGTGGGACACAAAAGATGCACACATTTTTGATAGCATGCGAGCAGGTAAGAGCACTTGCTGCCTGCAAATGAGATGCTAAAACAGCAGAGAGGTGCTGTAATCCTACCTGCCCTGCATTTAGATGTTGTGTAAATTAGCAAGGGGTTTCAGAAGGTGCCTCATTACCCACAGCAGAAGGAACCAGTGTGCTACCTCCACAACATAGATTTAAGGCAGATTTGAAGACAGAATAGAAAAATATCTGCCCTCTGAATTTATGGTGCTCTATCTTCCTTATTTTTCCCATTTTTAGACTTCAGCTGACTACCTGGGGTGCCTGATTTAGGTTTTCTAACTACTATCGCATCCAAAACCTTCAGTGATTCAGACTGCTACTGACAAACCCTGGTTCTTTGTACAGTTACTGGAGAGAAGCAATTTCCATGCCTAAGTGCAGATCTGACTAGGACCCATCATTGTATTTTCTGTTTTATCTCCACAAGCAGGAAGAACAAATAATTCTGAAGCACTGAGAAAAATCTTTTCTACCTCCCTGGGTCTCATCTGTCATGGTTTCCCTAGGAAGAAGACAAGAAGAGGATCACATATTTTATTTTTTTCTATGGGTTTTGTTTGCTTCAAAGATTGAACTGAGTTTTCTTTTTCTTTTTTTGTCGTAGCTGAGTGGTCCAAGAACATGAGTGGCTCTTCTCTTCAGCCCATTTCAAAAGTATGTTAAGTGCAGGAGTATTGCTGAATAATTTTTTCACAAGATTCTTCATGAGTGTATAGAAATTAAAAATCAGTTCTAAAAGAGTACACAGCAGCGGTATGATAAAAATCTTTTAAAATTAGTTATTTAAGAGAAGATGTTTACTTACTCCTTATCTTGGTGACCAATTTATTTGTATCCTGGCACTTTATCACAGTCATTTTTGAAAAAAAAAAAAAAAAAAAAAGTCACATAAGAAGAACTTGAAATCTTCAGAACAAAACGTGCTCAGAAAGGCAGATTCTCTGCTACAGGTGTAGCAGGTCCAAACAGTGGAATAGGAGAAGTCTTGAAAATCATGGGCAGTTCTTCTGTGATTTACACATCTGAAAAAGAAGAGCAAAGAAACTGAGAAAGGCTTTGAACTTCACCTTTGCCGTAATGATCTCTATTTTCACTGTTATTAAGCTTAAGTTTGAATGTGTACATTCTGAACAGGGCATTTAATGATAACTATCTTGTAAACATTAAGAAAGGAAACAGCATGAATGGACGATGAAACTTGGTATTTCTTTTATCAGGTGTTCTATCTAAAGTGGTAACCTCAGAGATGAAAACAAGAGAAACAGTGTAAGGCATGAAGAAATCAAAACAGAGGATAACCCCCAAAAAATGCATTAGCAGATGATTCTAATGAGAAATAGGCCATTACCGTACTGAGAAATCAGAGGCTGTTTTGTAACATTTATCCTCTGTCATGGTACATAAGATCTGTCATGTACATGTTGTGTACCTCATTTGAATGGTCCCTTGAAATCATTTGTGCTGTTTCATCAAGTAAAACATTAAAAAGGGAACAAGAAGGGAATGAGATATCAGAGTACTACTATGAACTGAAACTCATTTTTCAGCATATTATAGGAAAAGACATGGTGCCTGAAGCTGAAAATCTATGCAAATTAGTTTTGAAATAAATATCATTAATGAAATACTTATTAGACTATCTGAGCCCTGGAAAGTCAGTTGATTAGTTCCAGCATTGACATAGTGCTGGAGGTTATTTTACCAAGCTGATAGACTGTAATGATTATCAAATGTGTTCAAGAAAATGGAATCCTGTATTCAAGTCATTCCCATCCAGAATCTGATTAGTTTTTAGAGCTCAGGCTTGATTACCTTGATTTCATTAGGTAAAATACACCACAAAACTAACAGACACTTTGAACCATCAAATGATTTTTTTTTCCCCTGTGGTCTCACTTAGAGTGGGTGTCACATGAGAAAGCAACATAAAACTGACATAGACATTGATTTTTCTTCATGAGATTGTGCAGGACTGGTTGACCATCTTATTGGCTGTGAAAAGGTCAAATGTACTTTTTTCTTGAGCTTATGTTTATAAGAACATGTAAAGATGGCAGTATACTGAGGGAAAGGGTTTAAACATTCTAGATGAACACAAGAGAAGAGTTTGTGTACATGGAACTGCTGGTGGTACACCTCATTTAGACTGCTTGTAGAATTTCTCATTGGATGTCCTTCTCATGGTGCCCTTCCAAAAACAGAAAGACATGCTATAATCTCGTGTTAAGAACCTGTGTTGTATCAATCTTTTTCTTACTTCCCTGGGTAAAAATTATGTTTTGTCTGAGAATGTTACCTGGTAAACAGATTGTTCCTGCTTACTGCAGCTAGTAGTCTTGTTGAGTATACATCTGAGAGACTACATGGATTTATAGACAAGGAGATATTAAAAATTATTTTTATATAGCAAGATTTTCAAAAGCTTTCTGGACATGGTCCTGTTCTAAGTGTCCTTCCTTGAGCAGGGGCATTGGACAAGATAATTCCTTGAGGTCCCTTCCAACCTGTCAGTCTGTGATAGCATCACAAAAGCTGATCATTGTCTTTGCCCACAAAACAACAGCTCTTGTCACACTCTTATAATGAAAGTAGTAAAAATGTGAGCCTTATTTTAAGTGTCAATCCTCCCTTTTAATATAGAGATGTCAACCTTCTTGCAGATAGCTGCTTGGTGGTGGTTGTGAGTTTGATTGGTGTCAGCCAGGGCTGATACTACAGGCCAATGAAACTTAATGAACCCATTGCTCATTTATGCCCTACACATCTGACATAGCTTCACAGAATGTTGTGAAAACATCATATTTATGTTGTGTGCAGATGTACTTTGGGTGTCTCTGCACTATATGTAAACTTTTGAAAGGGTAAGCAAGCATTCCTTCTGCAAGCATTCCTTCTGCACACGCCCAGATCTGCTCGTTTGCGTGGCACCTGTAGAGCTGTTGCCCTGGAAAGGCCAGTCTGCCTTGTGCTACTGTCACTGTGAGACTGGAGCTCTGTCAGTACCCACACTGCCACGAGGGCTGGTGGGTACATGAGGAAAGTAAGATCCCAGAGTCTCTCCATCCCACAGCTCTCCCACACAGGTCTTTGCAGAGCTGAGCCTCGGCTTTCAAACCAGAGCAATTTAAAAATACTCTTTGGATAACCATTTTAGTGCCTGACATTGACAGTTATTAATCACAAAAGTCCTCTTATGGAGGTATGCAGGAGAAACTGGAACTGAACCCAATCAGATATTATATTTTAACTATACTGCATCAGCAACTGTTTTGCCCATGGTGATTTTCTCTGTTCTTTTCCATATGATATTTGCAACTGTCACAGCTCAAGGAGACTTCGAGCAACTAACATACCATATAAAACTTAATTTTTGAAAAGTATATTTCATTGAAGTTTCAGATTGCAAAGAGAAAGTGGTCATAGATTTCACAAACATTCATGCAAATAATTCTTTCCATTTTTCTGCTACCCATGATGTTGGTAAAAATAGTAGCATTTCTGATTGTCACTGGGAAGAAAGAGTAGTATTTTAGGAATTTTTTGGAAAGTGTTCTATTTTCCCCTACTTCTATTTTTGTGGGACAAATTAAATATAGTTGGGGTTTAGAATAGGAAAGTGTTTTGATATGTGAATGTTGGTGCTATACTCCGCAATTATCAACTTCTTCCAGGTAGGTTCTTCTAGAGGGCTTTTACCACCCTGGAATAGGAACTTCAGCAAGCTGTATTAACAAATGAACATTGCATGTACCTGCACTTTGTCACTTAACCAGAAAGTGGAGAAGACAATTCTGCCTTCTTCCCCCAGCTCCTACATTCTCCTTATCTTTGGAATCCTGTACCTCAGAAACACATGGATGTTGGTGCAGTGCTGGCTGCAGCTAAGTGGTTGTACTGTGTTTAAACATGGTTTATATGGAGGAAGAGAGTAGTTTCAGCATGGCCCTAAGAAACCACTGTTTTTAGAAATGCTACTGCCTGTAACTGCTGTAAAGAATGCAAGAGGAGGGTGCAGCAGTGAAGGCTTTTATCAATAATGAAAACTGCTTTTTATTTATACTTCTGAAATCTAGGTTGCATACTATTTAATGTAGTGGTTCTGATACATGTTCCAACACTCTCGTAGAAATAGCTACTCCCAGTACTGTTGCAGTGAGCTGCCTACACTTACAAATATGTCAGCTGATCTTGTGTTTTCCTGCAGGATGCTTTTAATAGGCATGAAGAAACGATGTACGGACTTGTCATGGGCTTTCTGAGAGTACTTCTATATCCTCATTCCTCAGTCTGTCTGGCTAGCAAGGCCATACTCAGCCTGATTTCTTGTCTTATATGTAGTTTTACCATATTTCTTTGACCAGTGGGCAAGCAGGAGCCTTTCACAGACGCTTGGGACATTATTTCAAGTAGTTTCTTAGTAGCTAGCAACCCGTTTCCGGAGCTAGAGGTGGTCTAAACTGAGCTCCAGAGTGACCATTAACTTTGTCTCTTTCAAGTAGAGCCAATGATTATTTTTTCCCTCTGGGTGCACACTTGCATATCTTTACAAACAGGGCACTGTTAGATTTCTATCCTGCCATAAACTCCAACTGTAATACCTCATCTGCTACTGACCTGAAGTGAACTCTGAGGAGAGGGAACAGTAATAAAGCAAAACCCAGCAAACAGTGTGAAGCTTTTGTAAGATCTTATATAACTGAATTGGCTATATTGGGAACTTGCCTTTGGTTTTAATTATAGATTTAAGGGTGCACTTATCGGGCTCTGTGCCATCTCTTTGCTCCCTCCCTTCACTCTCGATTTGCTTCATATAATGAGCAGCCACTACAAAAAGGATGTTTTTCGCCCTTCTTTTCAGGAAGAGGACAGGCCGACAAAAGTTCCCTTGAGGATGGGGAGGTCTAATGTGTTAATTGTCTCATGTGTCACTCTAGTCTTGGGCTTCAGACTGGTCCCTCCAGAATGTTTCAAAGACCAGCTGTGAGAACCCAGCAAAAATGTGTAATGTCCCAAGACTGGTCAATATTTCCTCCCAAAAGCTGGTGTTGAGTGACAAGTACCTCTTTGAACTTGCAGAAGAGTGTCAAGAGAATGACAATCCCCAAATCTACCCAAATCTATCTCTCACTCACATCTGTATCCCATAATATACAAAAATTACTTTCACAGAAGCAAAGCCAGAGTGGATGCAAAGCATCATGGTCTTGTGAGGGCCTCATGAAGCATTAATGAAACCCGAGTTAAGATTTGAGGAAACAGGACTTGGATGCTCAAAAAAATTTAAAGTATCACTAGGTCAATTTATGCTGCCTGAGCATCACGTCTCAACTTACTCTTTAACTCAGCTTTCATGATGATTTCTATCTTTCAGAGCATCTACCATATCAATTGCTACAAGTGTACAGCGAGAGAGGCCTGTAAAGCAATAGTGAAGCTGGCCTGTGCCTTAAAGGATAGACACCTGCTGCCTCGTTTGAGGGGTCCCAAGCTCAGAAATGAGGTTTCTGAATCTGTTGTTCATATCAGAAGCTAGTCTCCTGAAGGGCTAAATGGAGTTAAGTGCCTTGCCACACCCAAGAAGGTGATGATAGATCTGGTGACTATCTCCCTGCTCTACCTTAGATGTCTTCAGCTTTTTGTCTCAGTTTTGTGAATGGCCGGTAGTTAGTAAAATCAGCTAAAAGGTGTCACAGTGTGAGCTGAATTCCTCTCAGTCGGTGAACTGAACAGTCATAATGTCCACTAGCCATAGTAACTAGAGGGAGTCTGTTACCTAAGGATAACAAAATCACTTGGGAGGAGAGCAGGATATCTGCAGCAGCTCAACATAAAGGCAGCCCAGATCCGCTAAGGCTGGCCTGCAGCCTAGAGCTAAAAAACTCTGTTTGCCTTCCTATTGCTCTAAAACCTGGGTAAAACACAGCAGGGGAATTAAGAGTTCTCTGTTTTAATAGCTTTTTTTGTCTTGGAAGGCTCATAATAGTTCATCTCTTAAACTGAAAATGTAATGGCATAGCTCCTG